TCCTGACCTCAGGTGTTCCACCCACCTTGGTCTCCCAAAGTGCTGGGATTACAGGCGTGAGCCACCGTGCCCGGCCAGGCTCTTTTGTTCTTACCCTGTCCCTTGGAACTTCCAGCCTGAGCCAGAGTCCAAGACCCTGGTGGACCCCATGGCCACTCCCTAAGGGTCTCAGAGGAGGAGGGGTGCCCTTTTAGCTCTGGCCCCTCAGAGCTCGTTACCCACATTCCAGAGGACACCATGTTCTCTCCCACTGCTGTCCGGGCCCCACTTCCTGCATTTTCCCTTGATTTCTTGGTTAGGACTCCTGTCCTGAAAGGGAGAGGCGAATTCATTAACTCCTCTGCTGGCCTGACAACCTCTTCAGTCCCCTCCTCCCTCTCCTACCTGGTTCCTGGCCCGCTCCGCTACCTGCTGGGCTCTCTCACTGGTCCTGAAGGCTTTTGGTTGTGAAACTCACCTCCCTCCTCCCTACAAACGCTGCATCTGAGTTCCCTTCCCACTGTCGGGCTTTATGTTTATTTATTTCACTTAGTTCTCCCACTATTCCCATTTCAAAATGAGGAGAGAGAGGTGAAAATATTTTTCTGAGCTTACATCGTTGGTGAGTGACGGAGCCTGGATGAGAAATGAGGTCTATTGTCACCACTTTCTCTCCCACACACTCATGTTACTCTGGAGAGATCGAGCTCTCAGGTTCCTATTGCTGTTGGGCCCAGAGCTCAACCAGCAATGCCTTAGTCTCCCCTGAGCTGACAGCAGCTGCCTCAGCCCATGTGTGTGGCAGGAACCCCAGACTAGTAGTAGGGCACGTCCAGGACAGGCTCCAGGGGCTGGGGCTCCAGTGACTCCACAGTAGACACAGCCCCTGACTCTCCCTGGGGGCTGTCGTTAAGCCCTGGGTCAGGGAGGAGCCTTATGGGTGACGGAACTCCATCTCAACACAACAGCCTTGGTGGCCTGTTGGCTCCTGGTTCTGCTTGACCAGCTGTGTGGCCTTGAGCAAGTTACTCAACCACTCTGAGTTTACCTTTCCATCATGTAAAAATGTAGATTACAAGACATAACTTTAGATGAAAGCCGATGTCTGCGATTGCTTGTAGAAACAGGCTGTGGTGTGCGGCCAATCTCCTTACGGAGAACTGGGATCCAATCTCCTGAGACCTGGGACAGCAGGCACAAGGCAATCCCGGGGACACCAAACGGGGCCCCTATCCCAAAGGAATGGACGTCCCACACGGCCCTGGCCCAGGCATATGCAGCTGGGTCTCACTTGACTTAAGCCCACTCTGAAAGGAGAGAAGCTTCTGTCCAATCAGGGAAGAGGAGGCCTTCAAGACAGCCAGGGTGATCTGAGCCCCCACCCCAGGGGTGCTCCACAGGGGGCATTAGCAGGGCCAGGGGATAGCTTATCACCACCCCATGAGTTGAGGGTCACTACATGACTGTGGTTTTATTGAGAATGCTGTCAGGCATCCTAGGATGCACGGCAGAGTCCCCCCAGCACAGCCCAGCCCAATCCAATATGTCCATGCAGCCAGGATCAGGAGCCCTGATGATCTCCAGGCCTGGCCAAGGGCAGCATCCAGGGTCACAGCCTCCGAGGAAGCTGTACTACAGCTCTACACAAAGCACTTGGCCAGCAGCTGGTGGCCTGGTGGTTTCGGTTCTGCTTGACCAGCTATGTGGCCTTGGGCAAGTTACTGAACCACTTTGAGTTCACCTTTCCCATCTTATAAAAATGGAGATTTCATGGCATACCTTTAGACCAAAGGCAGTGTCTGTGACTGCCTCTGGGAGGACAGGGCTGTTGTACCTTTATCAGCTGCAGCATTTCCCAGGCCAGAATGTCACAGGGCTCAGACAATACTCACTACAGGCTCCAGGGTCCTGTAAAGTGAAGGCTGCCACAGTTGGGAGGAGAGGGAAATGCATGAAGTGTGAGGAATCTGGGGAAAGCCTGGGCAGAAATCAGGCGGGCTGTGTTTACACAGCGCCTCTGAGCTCTGGCCATGCGTCACAGCACAGTATCCTGTCCCTCTAGGGACAGAGATTCTCTGTCCATTAAATAAGGAAAGCCGGTAGAGATCTCTAAGGACTGTTGTGATCTGTGGAAGTCGTGTGATGCTGATCCTGACTTAACCACTTCCTTAGTAACTCTGGGCAAGTCCCTTAGGCTTCCTGTGCCCCAGTTTCCTCTTTTCTAACATAGGGGCCGGGTGCGGTGGCTCACGCCTGTAATCCCAGTATTTTGGGAGGCCAAGTAGGGAGGATCACTTGAGATCAGAAGTTCAAGACCAGCCTGGGCAACATGGCAAAACCCCATCTCTACTAAAATACAAAAATATTAGTCTGGCATGGTGGTTCACGTCTGTAATTCCAGCTACTCAGGAGACTGAGGCAGGAGAAACACTTGAACCTGGGAGGCAGAGGTTGCAGTGAGCCAAGATCATGCCACTGCACTCCAGCCTGGGTGATAGAGCCAGACTCTGTCTCCAAAAAATAAACTAATGTAAAATAAAATAATACGGTAAAATAAAATGGGGCTGTGGGATGTGCACCTCAAGGTCATTGCAGTGGTAAGTGGAGTTGTGGAGAGCAAGCACTCAAGACCCAGCCTGCCAGGGTGAGAGATGCTGGCTTTTCCTGCTTGCTGACCTTGGACATGAGCCTAACCTCTCTGGGCTTTGGTTTCCTCCTCTGTAAAAGGAGGATAGTAGCATTACCACCACACAGGATTGTTACAAGAAAGCAATGAGTTAACACACGCGTGTGCTTAGAACAGTTCTTGGCATATGCTAAGTACCTTATACATGCTTGCTGTCTTTCTCATTCTTTCAGTGATGATGGTGTAGGAAAGTGCTTGCAATGGGCTGGGCACATGACGGATGTTTAATAATGCACGGTTGCATTCACGCAGTGTCAATCCTGGTGACTGGGAGTCATCATGTGCCCTGACTCGGGGCCTGGCCCCGCCCCTGTCTCTGTCTTGCAGGACAATGACATTCTCTGTCTCATGGGGCGTCCTCCTGCTGGCAGGCCTGTGCTGCCTAGTCCCTGGCACCCTGGCTGAGGATCCCCAGGAAGATGATGTCCCAGAGATGCATGCCTCCCACCATGATCAAGGGGCCTGGGAGGACCCTGCTTGCCAGAAGATCTCCCATAACATCACCGACTTCACCTTCGATTTGTACAAAGAGCTGGCTGATCTATCAAAAACCAGCAATATCCTAGTTGCCCCAGCGAGCGTGGCTATGGACTTTGCAATGCTCTCCCTGGGGACCAAGGCTGACACTCGCACAGAGATCCTGGAAGGCCTGAATTTCAACGTCACAGAGATGCCTGAGCCCAAGATCCATGAATGCTTCCAGCAATTTCTCCAAGCCTTCAGCAGGCCGAACAGCCAGCTCCAGCTGACCGCCGGCAGTAGCCTGTTCATCAACAAGAGTGTGAAGCTAGCAGACACGTTTTTGGAGGATATCAAGAGGCTATACCACTCAGAACCCTTCTCCATCAACTTCAGGGACACCGAGGAGGCCAAGGAGCAGATGAATAATTATGTGGAGAAGAGAATTGCAAGAAAAATAGTGGATTTGCTCAAACATCTGAAAAAAGAGACCAGTCTTGCCCTGGTGGATTACCTTTCGTTTCACGGTAAGGTAGCACCACCTGCCTGAGCCCGTTCCACTGAAATAACCCGAGCATAGTCTCAAACTGCTAGTTCTTAAGCATTCCTACACAGTGAGATATGGCAGGGCATTTCACATGGATTCTGCATTTTTCCAAACACAAACAGTAAAATACTTTGCATGGTCAAATAAGATAGAAGAAGGATGAGTTCAAGCCAGCCAAACCATCATCTCCCCTACAGACCTTGTCAGAGCATTATTAATTATTGCATTATTAATTACTGCAATAATGCATACTCACTATTAATAATGCGTGTTATTGTCCTGATACTCTGGAGATCCCTAGCAGGGAGGAGACAGAGTATGAAATGCTTCCCACACACTAGAGCCAGAACAATATTTTGTGGCACATGCATGACGGGATACTTTCATGGAGCATACTTTAGAGGACTCCAGCGTCCCAGAAGCAGTGTGAGCTTTGTGGTTTGAAATGTTGGGGTTCAAATCCTGCATTCTACCTCTTTGAGGTGCTAATTTCCCATGTTAGCATGGACAAGATAGCACCCTTGCTGTCAGGCTTTTTAAGGATTAAACAAGTGACAAAGATCGTGGGGACAGTGTGTGGCATACAGCAGGTGAGGGACTCTTCTGTACCTCAGCTGCCTTCCTGCTCCTCAGGGGTTACAATGTCAGACTCCTGGGGGCCCCAGGGCATTCTAAGCCAGCTCCTACTGTCCCAGGAAAACAGCCTGGGGGAGGGGAGGTGGGAGGCAAGCCCAGGGCTGCTTCCTCCACTCTGAGGCTCCCTTGCTCTTGAGGCAGAGGAGGGCAGTGGGGAGCAGCCAGGCTGCAGTCAGCACAACTGAGGTCCCAGCTTTGCTGCGGCCTTAGGGAAGGCCCTGTCCCTCTTCAGCTTCACTCTCCTCCTTCTGTCCAATGAGAAAGCTGGGCTCAGGGGTCCCTGAGACACCTGCCCACTCTGCATGCCTCAATGGTGAAGCTCTCTTGGTATGGCAGACAGGAGGCTGCCTAGGCATCTGCATTTCCCCTGCTGATCCAGGGAAAGCCCTAAGGAATAGTAAATCAGAATGTTTGCCCTGAATGAATAACTGAGCTGACAGTTAACAAAGGGCAGGGAGCCCCAGACAGGAGGTACCAAATATGCCTGATGCTCCAGAATTTTATTTGTAATATCCAAGATACCGTCAAATAAAAATACGATTCCAATAAAAATGCAGGATGGCAGCCAGGATGGCATCTCTTAGCCTGGCATGCCCACGATGTAGAAATTCTGCATCTTTCTCTTGTTTTGAATTATCCCCATACAATCCTTTCCGGGAGCTTTGATGGCTGGTTTCCGCACTTTTTACAGATGATGAAGCTGAGGCTCAAGAGATGTGTGTCATCAAGGGGGCTCAGGGCTTCTCAGGGAGGGGACTCTGGGCTCCTTTATTCTGCCACACTTTTCCAAACTTTCACCCACCCCTGGTGATGCCCACCTTCCCCTCTGTCCAGGCAAATGGGAGAGACCCTTTGAGGAAAAGGACACCAAGGAAGAGGACTTCCACGTAGACCAGGTGACCACTGTGAAGGTGCCCATGATGAGGCGTTTGGGCATGTTTAACATCCACCACTGTGATAAGCTGAAGGGCTGGGTGCTGCTGATGAAATACCTGGGCAATGCCACCGCCCTCTTCTTCCTGCCTGATGATGGGAAACTACAGCACATGGAAAATGAACTCACCCACGATGTCATCTCCAGCTCCCTGGAAGCTAAAGCCAGAAGGTAATTTCCCAACCAGAGGCTGACCAAGAAGCTGCCCACACCTCTTAGCCATGTTGGGACTGAGGCCCATCAGGACTGGCCAGAGGGCTTGGGAGGGTGGACCCCACATCCCTGGGTCACCACTACTCTGCATAAACTTGGCTTCCAGAATGAGGCCACCACTGAGTTCAGGTGGCACCAGCCATGCTCCATGCGGATGACAGTACCCAGGGGTGAGGAGTAAAGGTCTAGTCCCTGGGGACTTCCCACTCTAGCGTGGACACTGTCCCTTCCCANCCTCAGGGGTTACAATGTCAGACTCCTGGGGGCCCCAGGGCATTCTAAGCCAGCTCCTACTGTCCCAGGAAAACAGCCTGGGGGAGGGGAGGTGGGAGGCAAGCCCAGGGCTGCTTCCTCCACTCTGAGGCTCCCTTGCTCTTGAGGCAGAGGAGGGCAGTGGGGAGCAGCCAGGCTGCAGTCAGCACAACTGAGGTCCCAGCTTTGCTGCGGCCTTAGGGCAGGCCCTGTCCCTCTTCAGCTTCACTCTCCTCCTTCTGTCCAATGAGAAAGCTGGGCTCAGGGGTCCCTGAGGCGCCTGCCCACTCTGCATGCCTTGATGGTGAAGCTCTCTTGGTATGGCAGACAGGAGGCTGCCTAGGCATCTGCATTTCCCCTGCTGATCCAGGGAAAGGCCTCAGGAGTAGTAAGCAGAATGCTGTCGCCCGTTGCTGAGGGAACCAGCCCTCTGCATGAGGCAGGAAGCCTCCAGCCAAAGGTGGCAAGGCATCGGAGTTCCGACTTTGCTCATTAGCTTTCCTTAACCACCCCCGAGCCACTATCAAATAAACAAAGCCAAATATAAAAGCTTTTTCTGTGGTGCCAGGATTCTGCCGATTAGTTCAAGTCTGTAGAAACTCTGGATTCTTCTTTATCTTCAGATGATTCTCACAAAAGCTGTCCAGCAGTGAATAGTTTCATTCGAATCCTATTTTACAGAGGATAAAGCTGAAGCAGAGGGAAGTGTCTCACCAAAGGGACTCAGGGCTCTTTTCATTCACACACACTTCCAGCCTTTTATCCCATACCTGGCTGATGCCCACCGTCCTTTCTTTCCAGGCAAATGGAAAGATAAATTCGTGGCTGAGCGCATTATGGTAGAAGGCTTCCATGTGGATGATAAGACCATCATCAGAGTGCCTATGATAAACCGCCTGGGGAGATTTGACGTCCACCGGGACAAGGAGTTATCCAGCTGGGTGTTGGCACAGCACTACGTGGGTAACGCCACTGCCTTCTTCATCCTGCCCGACCCAAAGAAGATGCAGCACTTGGAAGATAAACTCACCTACAGCCACTTTGAACATATCCAGAGAGCCACTGACTTAAGGTGATTTCCAGTTCAGGGTCTGAGTCAGGAGCTGCCCAGACCTTTAAGCCATGTCAGGAGTGAGGCCCATCAGGACTGGCCAGAGGGCTGGGGAGGGTGGACCCCACATCCCTGGGTCACAGCTACTGCAGCAGACAGATGTCATCACTGAGTTCAGGTGGCACCAGCCATGCCCCATGAAAGTACCCAGGGGTGAGGAGTAAAGGTCTAGTCCCTGGGGACTTCCCACTCTAGCGTGGACACTGTCTCTTCCCAACATCCAGTGCCCAGGGCAGGGACAGCATCACCACCACACGTTCTGACAGAACCAAGAAGGAACAGATGGGCTTTCTGGCAAAGGCAGCAGTGGAGTGTGGAGTTCAAGGGTAGACTGTCCCTGGGGGAACTGGGGAAGAGCCTGTGTGACACGGCCCAGAAAAGCAAGGGTTGGAATTGGAACAGCCAGGGCACATTAGCAGAATGCTTGAGTTCCTCTGTCACTTTATCAACCCCGTAGTAAATGATACTTGAACATGAGCCACACATTACTGTATGTGTGTGGAGTGTGCATTCGTAATTATGCCCATGCCCTGCTGATCTAGTTTATTTTGGTCACTGTAAAACAAAGATGAAAATGCAAAAGGTGTCTGGGTGTGGTGGTTCACATCTGTAATCCCAGCACTTTGGGAGGCTGAGGTAGGCAGATCACGTAAGGTCAGGAGTTCGAGACCAGCCTGACCAACATGGAGAAACCCTGTCTCTACTGAAAATACAAAAATTAGCTGGTCGTGGTGGTGTGCGCCTGTAATCCCAGCTACTCAGGAGGCTGAAGCAGGAGAATAGCTGGAACCTGGGAGGCACAGGCTACAGTGAGCCAAGATCACCCCACTGCACTCCAGCCTGGGTGGCAGAGCAAGATTCTGTCTCAAAAGAAAGAAAGGAAGGAAGAAAGAAAGAGAGAGAGA